CCTGAACAATGCATGTCCAAGTTCTGTATTATACAATATCATGTTAATACATCTCAGTTCACCCTTAAGAACAATGACTGTATTATGAAAGAAAATGGTTATAACAGGGAACTAACTCAAAAGTCTGTGTAAGGAATTCATCAACAGCTGTGTTACCAATAGGAGTGTCAAATGCTTCATTTGTCAAGAGCTCAATGCATTTTCATTCCAAAGGCAGAACTGGAGGTAATCCAGGGACACAGAAAGAACTCAGTTACAAAGGGGTGTAGTCCCATAGAGTTACAGCTGCACAAAAAGAAAAGAAAAAGAAATAGTGAGCAATAAATATTATGAGAAAAAGAGGAAATGGGCATAACCCTTCTTTTTTTCAAGATTCATATTGTATAATTGTATTAAATGTTCCCCCAAACCATCATTTGGATAAAGCAGTTCAAGAATACCTTTGTTAAGCCACTAGCAGCCATTCACACTCAAGAAGTCAAAATCCTTTACAATATTATTAGCCAAATTCAATAGAATGTTGTAGCTGCACATTTGAAAGAGCATTTTGTCGCATAACATTTATAGAATCATATGATGAATTCTCCAGTTTATCTTTTTCCTTATAGTATTTTCCCCCTCCCTCTTATATGACAATGTTTGCATATGATGATGGCTTTAGGGGTGTGACAGGATAAACATTATGTGACAGTTCTCATACTGATAAAGATAGTAGCTATTATCAATCAATGTACATTGATAAAGCAGACAAGCCTCTTCTGCTTTGCATTGCAAGAGGACATGAATGTTCACAAATTTTTGTTGACTTTGCCGATACATATATTCTGATTTGGAAGCAGAATGCAGTACTTGATGGAATTCTTTTAATCTTTCTAATCACAGCTCTTTAATTCCTGGGATTAACTTGCTGGAGGGCTAGTAACTCCGAATCCGACCGAACACTGCTAAGAGCCTTTATTAGGACTTCTCTCGTGGCGATACGGGCGGCAAAATGTGCGCATTTTTCCGCTCTTATTGCGTCCGCAGAATCTCGCCCGGCCGCCCTGTTTAGGATTGCTCGCTCCCTCCTGAAGGGGAGGGATGTGGAGGAACACTTACAGCGAAGAGCTGAGGAATTTGTTCAGTTTCTGTCGGACAAAGAGATTCGGACAGACCTGGACTCCACTTGGGCAGTTCCTGCCGAGATGCCGGGAGTGGTCCTTGATCGGATTTCTTGGAGCGAGTTCCAGCCTGTTACTCCTGAGGAAGTGGACAAGGCCATGGGAGTGGTAAGTGCCTCCACCTGCTTACTGGACCCGTGTCCCTCCTGGCTGGTTTCGGCCAGCAGGGAGGTTACATGAGGCTGGTTCCAGAGAATTATTAACACCTCTTTACAGGAGGGATCTTTCCCGCAGCCCTTAAAAGGTGCAGTGGTGAGACCCCTCCTTAAGAAACCTTCTCTGGATCCAGTTATCCTTAAAAACTACCGTCCAGTCTCCAACCTCCCCTTTGTTGGGAAGGTTGTTGAGAAGGTGGTGGCCTTTCAACTCCAAAGGTCCTTGGATGAAGCAGATTATCTTGATCCAGTCGGGTTTCAGGCCTGGTTACTCCACTGCTTTGGTCGCGCTGACTGATGATCTCTGGCGGGCCAGAGATAGAGGATATTCCTCTATCCTAGTGCTTCTTGACCTCTCAGCGGCCTTCGATACCATCGACCATGGTATCCTTCTGCGATGACTGGGGGAGGTGGGAGTGGGAGGCACCGTTTTATGGTGGTTCTCTTACCTCTCAGACAGGTCACAGTCGGTGTTGGTTGAAGGACAGAGGTCGACCCCTAGGCCCCTCAAATATGGGGTGCCGCATGGCTCGGTCCTGTCCCCCCTCCTATTTAACATCTACATGAAGCCGCTGGGTGAGATCATTCGCCGGCACGGGATTAAACACCACCAATATGCGGACAATACTCAACTGTATCTGTCCGCCCCGTGCCAACTCAGCGAAGCAGTGGAAGTGATGTGCCAGTGCCTGGAGGCTGTTAGGGTCTGGATGGGAGTGAACAAGCTGGCACTCAATCCAGACAAGACCAAGTGGCTATTGATGTTTTCTCCCAAGGATAGTCCAGATTCTCCATCTATTAGCCTGGGGGGTGAAAGTCTACACCCCCTCAGGGAGGGCCCGCAACTTGGGTGTCCTCCTGGATCTGCAACTGACATTAGAACACCATTTGTCTGCTGTGACCAGGGGGGCTTTTGCCCAGGTTCGCCTGGTGCACCAGTTGCGACCCTATCTGGACCAGGAGGCACTTCGAATGGTCACTCATGCCCTCGTCACCTCAAGGCTCAATTATTGCAATGCACTCTACATGGGGCTGTCCCTGAAGAGTGTTCGGAGACTACAGTTGGTCCAGAATGCAGCCGTGCGAGCGATATTGGGTGTACCTCCCAACGGCCAATAAGAACTCACAGGCTAGGCCTCCTCCAGGTGCTGTCGACCAGACAATGCCGGCTGGTGACCACTTGGGGGAGAGCCTTTTCTGTAGCTGCTCCGGCTCTGTGGAATGATCTGCCCGCAGAGATCCGGACCCTTCCCACTCTCTCGGCCTTCCAAAAAGCCACCAAAATCTGGCTGTTCCGGCAGCCCTGGGGCTGTTGATCTATAAATCAAGTCCAGCCCCCAGCTAAGCCGAATGTATGTTGTGTTTTTAAACTGTTTTCGTTTCTCTCCCCTATTTGTTATTTTTATTTTATCTCGTATTTGTAAGCCGCCCGGTGTCCTACGGGATTGGACGGCATATAAGATCATTAAATTACGAATTACGAATTTAACTCTTTCTGGTCCAGATAGCAAGAAGATAAAGCAGTTGTGGGACCCCTTGAGCAAATTTAGTTAGTAAAGATAAGGAGCAGGGAAATAAAGGAGAAATTCAACGTGTAAATGGATGAACGATATTGCAAGTGTTTCACATCTTGACCTTAAAGGTATAGCATTTTTTTTTCTAATTGGAGAAGACAAGTGAGTGTGGGTATTGCCAAAATTGTGGAGTGATTTAACATTGCCTTCCTTATTTCAGAATATTTTTTTACTTCCTAAACTAGTCTTCAACCCTGATATTTTCAGTTCATATCCCATCCAAGCAGTAACCAGAGCCAACCTTGTTTAACTTCGAAGCCTGCAGTTGACCAGCTACTGTATCCTGCTGATATATTGTGTAGCTAACCATGTTTTATTGAACAAACTAGCTAAGCTCATACATCATACAAAGTCATAAACCTTAGCTTACTTAAGTAATGATGGCTGAATTTATACAACATACTGAATCAGAACCAAATAACATAATTCCTTAATGCAATGTGAAAAATCAACCATTGCAACTTATGAATAATACCTTATTGTTTAGATAGCAGGATCCACCATATGGTTTATTAAATAAACTTTAATTAAGCAAATGGCTTAGTGTGATGTTGAACGCAGTTGCACATTAATGAACAATCAGCACTGGTGGATAAATAATTTAGCTCCTTGTTTCTTGCTTTCCCATATATAATGATTTTCAAATTTTAGGTTTTGGCTTCCAGCAGTTCTACTCCCAAACATTGCTACTGATTTTATTTGCTTGATATCATGACTGTTGCTTGTCTGAGATTAAACTTGATTGTGTAATATTTTTGAAATATTTTTGAATTCACATTTCAACTATGATTTAACATCATGCTGTGTTTCCTAAACATGCTAAAATAAGTCCCCGCTTCCTGAATCACAAATTATTTAATTTCATTTAGTCTGATCTAATCTAGTATGTTTTGCTAATTCAGCCATACAAAGCAGTAATCTGTTAGTTCTAATCCGGTGTTAGCCATAAAAGTCATCTTGGTGACCTTGTGCCAGTCACTTTCTCTCACCTTAACCCACCTTATAGGGTTGTTGTTATGAGTAAAATAGAAGAGGTAAGGTACACTGAATATGTTTGCTGCCTTGAGTTATTTGTAAGAATAGTAACAGTGGGATAGAAATAAATAAATAATACATGTAAATACTTCTTCTAATATATTCATATAGTGGTAACCATCAGGAGGACTAGTTCTGTGTTACCATGGAAGTTCACTCATAGTGGGCATCATGTGCCATCCGTAGTTCAGCCTGAAGTCCTAAGGTATAGAGTTCATTCAACTTGACAGTGCAATGGTAAGTTATTCTTTACAAATTATAAAAAATATTGGTCAAGTGGAGCAGAATTTAATAAAACTGCATACAGAATTGATTGCAAAACATTTTAGAATTGTCAGATTTCTCTTTGGGTTTCTCTTTTTGCTACATTTGCAGAGAGAAATTAAAAGATTTAAAAAACCTGTTGTACTACAGTTAAGCAACTGGATGAATGACACTTGTTTGTTGTTCTCATTATTAATAATATATTTTATTTCCTGAATGTGATATTTTATTTATTCTAAAATATTTATATTCTCTTCCTAGGTGACGGCAACTGATTATCTTTGTCTGAGTTTGGGAGCTACATAGGACTGGTTGACCTGGGACATGCTCCTAGTCATAAAGGTCACATGGGCCTGTGGGAAACATTGTGGGAAGGCAATGAGGTTAGTTTGTTGTAGCCCAAAATAAAAAAAAATCTGGTAGCACCATTTCTAACTAACATGTTTTATTAAAGGCATATATTTTTTGCAAATTGTAAGTTTATTCCTTTTGGGGAAGGAGGAACTGGCTTATCTCTGTTTTGATTTTATACTTATAAGATTTACTATCATGCTGTCAACTGTCACAATCTTCCAAAGTCTTCAAAGAAGTCAGATTTCAGCTGCAATTTATCCACTCCATCATTGCCTCCAAGCAATAGTTCAGGATATAATTCTGATGTTACTGAGAGGAATTGGTTGTCATCAGTGTATTGATGGCACTCTCTCAGATGGCCTATGACCTCTCACTATGTATGGAATAAATAGATAATCAAGAGTTGCCCTTTAGAGGTGTTGTCAGACACAAGCAACCAGAATCACTCTCAAGCAAAAACGTTATTGTTAGTCACCTATAAGAATCTCGTCAGACTGCCCACCTTCCATTGGAAACAATGAGATAAGGCTTCAGGAATTCTGATAGAGATGCTTACTTCCACTCTGGAAAAAATGAATGGGACCCTTTCAGCAGAAACTAATGAGATAAAAAACCAGCACTCTTCTACTCAGCAGCAGCCCATTCCTTGAAGTGTCCCTAGGGTAGCACTTAAGTTTAAAAATAGCCTCTACTGTTGCCCCAATGCCTTAATGCTATTTATAATTGTTTTTAAGTTTAATTACATAGGGACAGTGGTGTGTGTCCGTGTATTTTTCTTAGTTTTCATTGTGGACCCTCCTCCTTACTGGTAAAGCACTTTTTCTGACATAAAACAGAATGGCAGCTGCCCTCCTATAATGGCAGCATGTCAGTAGAGGTATCTTTGTTCAGCAGAAATTTACAGAGTTGAAAAGTTAATGTCTTTATATGAAAGTCACATTTCCTCCTCCTTTGTCCCCATATACCTACAGATTTTTAATCTAGAGCTTTAGTGACCATATTAGTCTTCTGGTACCATTGCCTCCTCAAACTCTGATCAAATGTAATGCTGATTAATAATTCCCACAAGTGTATGCTGATAAAGATAGCTATGGAATATAGACTTTCCTCATGCAGCACCACATGAACACACTGGCTGGGAATTCTGAAAGTTGCAGGCTGACTCTGCCTGGAGTTCAATAGATGAGGGTGACCCACCCAGAAACTTGATGGACAGATGTATGTAATAGCATCAAATATAAAATGACCAGTGATGAAATATTGGATGTTTGATCATTATTGATTTATTGATTGGTTGTTAGTAGAACTTCAGCCATTTTGTAACTTTTAGTTTTACTTTGGTGTCAGAGAAAACTTATGCTGAAACAGACACTGCCTGATTCCTGGTAGTTTTCAGATAGGATATTTGTCAGATATCGTCATATGTCACTGTGGGGGATGAAAAAAGTCAAAACATTTACATCTCATATTCAACAACTGTTACATGCTAGCATTGTTTTACAAGCAAATTCACTAAATCTGTTTTTGATCATGTTTAGAAGATACCAAATTCATAAGAAACATTGTCCGTTTTGCAAATTAGTTACAACTATCTGCATACAACCCTTCTCTTTCATTCAAACCATATTTCAGGAAGTGGACTTAATCTCCAAAATATGCCTCCACTAAGAATTTACTTGGCACAAGATGGCAAGTATTTCTACTAATCCTAATATATTCCCTTGATTCTGTACAGAGGTCATGGTATTGTACATCTGGAAGTACAATTCTAATTCTTTGTTTTCAGCATCTGTTATCACCTATCCTAGCAAGTTTTAACTAGTAAATATGACTTCTTTTATAAACATGCAAAATATTATGAACAGAAATTTCTTTGTGTGAGCCAGTTGAGACAAGAGAATGCATATGCAGACTGAGGCTAAATAGAGGCTTCCGTCATTCTAAATCCAAATTTCAACCCACCAGATGATTATTTGTAAACATTTTGTAGTGCATTTCTCTATACATTCTGGATGTGTTTTCAAACAAATTTTATCATCCATCATTTATTAGCCATAGGTGATGAGAGTCACAATATTTGGAAGATACCTTGTTGAAAAAGGAGGGATTTAGTAAGTTTTGATATCTTTGGAAAACAACTACTACAAACATATTATCTCAAAATGGCTTCTTTTTATTTGCTATTTATTAGGTGCACTTCCAAACTGCTCCCTGTTGTTAAAAAAAAGTTCTGTAGAGGCAATTATAACTGGAGTGCTATATAAGATCAGCAAAATAATGCAGCAAATTCACAAACAAAAGCATAGCCGTCTTCTTTATATAGAGCGATTAAGACTGGAATAAGGAAAAAGTACTTAGATCTGATTGCCATGGCAACCCATTCAGCTCAATTATAATTCAACAGCGTTGGAAGTAAGCTCTAAAAGAACCTATTCAGCGATGTGTTGGGGTTTTCAAGTATTCTCCAATTTTTGTCATAAATGGCTATTAATTGGCTCTAATGTTTGGATAGCTAAAATAGAATATATTGAACTGACAGCTGATTTTATTGTGCTTTTTGATCAGTATTCTCATTCAAGAAGCTACCATCAGTATGAGTAACTTGGTTATCGGTCTTGATCAGACTGTTCTTGAACAATATTTAGCCTTCAAGAATTCTTGAAACACTACACTTAGGAGGCCTAGATAGCATAGCCAATGTGAGAAATACTAGGAGATACAGCTGTCGAACAGCAACATCTGGAAGACCAGCGATTCTGGCCCTTTACCAGGCCTCTGACAAGAAAAAATTGACACCCTCACTTCATCATGTTTTCCATTTTTTAATCTTTATTTTTTATGCTTTATTTGATTATTTCTTTGTTTGATGGTTGAGAACTACCCAGTCATGAGATTTAAGTGGCACACAAGTTATAATAATTATAATTAATAATCTTCCAAGGTGACTCATTGTCATCTTAGTAGCTGTCATTGTTGTGATACTGTTTTCAGTTATTTTCAATAAAACAAATCTTGGTTATCAAACAGCAACCATGCTAATAAAATCTCACAGTTGCTTTATATGGATAATCTGAAGGTTTATAAAAACATAGAAATTGAATTCCAGGAATTAATAAACACTAAGAACTTTATTACTGATATAGCAATTGAGTTTGGCTTGGAGGACACCATAAATAACTGGTCAAAAAGAAAAAAAGTGTGAATAATCAATGTGGCAATACTGGGGATAGTAGAATGGAAGACAAAGAATTGGAGATGATCACAAAATATCAGGATCTGAAAACTGAAAGCTTATGGCGTAAACCAGTTCTGGTTTATTGGCAAAGTGGGCGCTAAAAGCTCTTGGATGACACTTAGAAAATATGCACATTGATAAAATTTCTACGTGTCAATTACAAAAGGCCATACTGCTTGGATCCCAGTAAGGGGTCCACAAGGATGGATGTCAGCAGTGTTAAAATGGCAGCTACATCAGGCAACTAAACCTTGCACTTTTTACTTAAGCAAAACAGAACAAAAAGTGCAGGCTGTGATCATTTAGACATGTTTGCCATTTGGGCATTGTTGATGTTCCTTCCATAGACACCTTTGATCCCAGCTGTACTCTTGATTCTGATGGCCAAGCCTTTCAGTATATTCTGGTGTGCACTGATGCTTATTTGATTTGCCATGGCTAAAGTCTCATTTCCACAAGTCCACTTTCCAATCATGAGAGCAGTCGGTCTTGAGAGCAATACAGAAACCTCTTGCAGAAATCTGTTTAGCTCTCTAGTTATTTAACTCATGCTGCTAGATAAGGACAATTTCCTTTTATCAAATTTCTGTTTAGTTTTGGGACATCCAATGTTGGTTTTGATGTTAAAGCATTTGCCATGTGAGTTGCATCTGAGTCTGAAATTTTATCATTTATTTGTTTATTATTTACTTATATGCTTTTGCTGCTGACACAGGTGCCTGCAGGATGGATAAAGGGAAGAGAAGCAGGGAGTGAAGTGAAGAAACATTCATCATTGCAATACAAACTCTGCTCCTAATGAACCTCTGAGTATGAAGGAGCAGTGCTTGCACTGCAATACATGTTCTACCATTAGGCATCATTGGTTAGAAATAGATGCCTAAAGCTGCTGGAGTCCAATAATGGCAATGATAAAAATAATAACAATTTAACATTACTTACCGAAATTGGAATGCTCACTATTTTCCAGGCTTTTATCATATTCCTGCAGCTCTCTTATCGTTTGCATCCTGAGACGACAGAATCTTTCATCATCATAGATGTTGCTGCTGCTGCTGCTGCTGCTGCTGCTGCTGCTGCTGCTGCTGCTGCTGCTGCTGGTATATTTAGGCTTAATGAACTTGATTACCTTGGGATCCATTTCATCCATCTCGAGGCAGAGGCAGGGGGAGCGGTGATTCACCTTCAATGAATCACCCCACATTTTCTCACACATGTCAGTTCCACTGGCATACATCTAGAATTCAGAGACATAAATGATCTGGTTTATAGTATCATTTACTATCAGAACCACACTGTCCACCTTATAGCTTCCTTTACATCTAGGCTGTTATGATGTGGTCTGATTCAGTTGGGGGGGGGAGTAGGATTGGGGAACTAGTTTATTCAGCTCATTCCGGACCCAGAGCATACACCATATCAGAAAACTAATTGCTTTATTATGAGGTTAAAAAAATGAGATAAAAGGAAACAAATCTTACCCAACACTTTGTGTAGAATTTTAGCCTCTCTTCTTTTCAGCTTTATAAACAGAGCTATACCTTATACCATACCAAGGTTTTTGAACCATTTAATCCAATGTTTTCATTTTAATTAGTAATTCTTTCTGAAATAGTGGGTGGGAACCTTTGAAAGCCAGGAACTGCAAAGTTTAAATTTATACTACAATGATTATGCATTTCTAGTTTCAACACTGGGAAACAACGGGGCTTATATTAGGTCATAGTGATCACAGTGAATCTACTGCTTGAGGATCTATCCTGAGTGAGTTTGATTGCATTGGCATCCATTTCATCCATCTCCAGGCAGAAATAGAAGGAGTAACTTATCTTCAGTGAATCACCCCACATGTCCTCAGGATGGTGGTTTGGGAGCCATATGCAGCACTGGGGTTTCAGTTTGTGTTCATTTGCTCTAGAATCTCTAGCAAATATTTTCCTAATTTTTCTTTTATCTAGAGATACATGAGTTCTATCACTGAATTGGCCAACACATGCATTTCTAGATGAGCCTTCGTATTTACAGACATCTTCCAGATTTCTAGCTCGGGTGACAATATCCTAAAATATAGTAATACATTGCTTCTTAAACTAGTGTGATGCAGTGGTACCTTGATATTCAACATTAATTGGTTCCAGGGAACGCAATAAATACCAAAAGCAATGAGTACCAAACACATTTTTCCCATAAGAAATAATGGAATGAGTCACAAGGCAGCTGATACCAACGGGTTCTAGTTTCTGCGATATTAACGAGTTCTAGTTTGTACAAAATAAAGGATGAGTACCAGGACAAAATTGTATGTCAAAATACGTTGAGTACCAAATTTCATGAGTTTCAAAGCAGCTGAATACCAAGGTACTGCTGTAATTCCTATAGTATATACGTATGCAAAATCATAGAAGATCATGCACTTAATCTGCATTTTAATTTGTACAGGATTATTGGAGTATTTAAAAGAATTATTGGTAGCATGCACTAGCAATACTAAAATATTTTAGAATTTAAGAGAGGGTGAATATATGACTATCCTCTTGTTAATTTAGGTCAATTTGTTAGATTAGAGTGATAGCACTAAATGTTAAAGTCATGCTTGATTTTTGTGAACTTTTCTTGCCATGGCTGTTAAAGAAATCACCAGACTTGTTAAGTGAATAGTGTTCATTAAGAGAATCCAGCTTTGCCCATTGACTTTGCTTGTTGGAAACTGTTGGGAAGGATGTAAATGGTGATCACATGACCCTGGGATGATGCAACTGTCATAAAAACATACCAGTTGCCAATTGTACAAGTGACCATGTGACATGATGCTATAGTGGTCGTAGGTTTGAGGGCTGATCATAAGTCCCTTTTTTTCTAGTGCAGTTTAACTTCAAACAGTAGCTAAATGAATGGTTTTAAGTCGAGGACTACTTGTAGAGAAAGCCATGTGACAATTTAACATTAGGGTACTCTGTATGCCTCAGAACTAGCTTACTGTACAAATATATTACCACACTGATTGGGATGCAGTCATCCTGACAGTGATTCTCTCCTTTATCATCAATTTCCCAATCAGTCAACCAGTTGCTGACACAAGTGTGATCATTTTTACAAGCTTCATACCTATAAGAGAAATCACAAAAGTAGAAGCCTTATTTGTGTTTTTACCACCCCATGTAAAGCAACATAGAATAATGTGTTTTATTTTTTAAAAAAACCAAGTCACTGCTGCTTCAGGATATGATTGGATATTATTCTTTACAAATGTATAGGGCAGTTTAAACAAGGAAGGAAAGAAAAAATAATATACAGTATTTTTCAGACTATAAGACACATCAGAGTATAAGACGCACCAAGATTTTGAAGAGGTAAATTAAAAAAAATTTTTTTTGCCCTCCCTGACCCCCAGGAGCACTCTGCAAGCCTCTCAAACCCTATGCAAGCCCCTTTCTTTAAAAAAAAGGGGGGGCATGCAGAGAGTTTGGAAGGCCTACAGAGTGCTCCTGGGGGCTTGGGAGGGCAAAAAAAAAAAAAAACGGACTCATTTTTTCACTCGTTTTTGCCCTCGCCAGTCCCCAGAAGCTCTTTGCAGGCCTCCCAAATCCTCTGTGCATCCATTTTTGTGAAAAACAGGATGGGTGGCGCAAGGTTTTAGGAAGCCAAAAATGCTGTATTCAGTGTATAAGATGCACCCAGATTTTCACCCTCTTTTTTGGGGAGAAAAGGTATATCTTATACTCTGAAAAATACAGTACCTAAAGCATGTGGTTTGTTACAGTGATAGAACGTATGTTAAAAAAAGACCTGTAACTTTCCTAGGTGATAGCTATTAGACTAATAAGTAGGGAAGAATACATAATGACTAGAGTTGTAGTCAAATCCAAGCTTCCAAAGAGTGATATTTTCTCTTCATCAATGCAAGGTCACCCTAAGAATGAAAATATTCTAGCCTGGAGAGTAGCACTGGCATGGAGCTTACAAAGTGTAAGATAAACCTAGGAATGAAAATATTCTAGCCTGGAGAGGTAGCACTGTTATGGAGCTTACAAAGTGCACTTTATTGCTTCCATTTCTCATTTCTCAAAGTCTTCCAGTGGTTTTAACCATATAATTGGCAGAAAATTGGAAAGGAAGACCAAAAAAGACCACTCTGTTACTGTCATGTTCTAAAGTACTAAAGGTAAAGATTCCCTGTGCTAGTCGTTCTTGACTCTAAAGAATGGTGTTCATCAACGTTTCAAAGCTGAAGAGCCAGCTCTGTCCAAAGATGTTTCTGTGGTCATGTGGCTGGCATGAATAAACGCCAAAGGTGCATGGAACGCTGTTACCTTTCCACCAAAGGTGGTCCCTATTCTACTTATTCTAACTATTTATTCTACTTATTCTATCTATTTATTCTACTTATTCTACCTATTTATTCTACTTATTCTACCTATTCTTCTCCCTTTCTACTTGCATTTTTACATGCTTCTGAACTGCTAGGTTGGCAGAAGCTGGGACAAGTAATGGGAGCTCAATCCATTACATGGCACTAGGGATTCGAACAGCCAAACTGCTGACCTTTCTGATTGACAAGCTCAGCATCTTAGTCACTGAGCCATTGTGTCCCTTTCTAAAGTACTACTGGTCTGCAGCAACATGGTTGGTAAAACGCTTCTTTGAAAGTTTTCCACAACCCTACTACCTCTATCTGGATTTTATGACTCCATATGAGGGTTCTGAATGAAGCCAGGAGACCATCTTTTTGTATTAAGAACCTGAAAACAGAAAGTAGCATCATCTGAAAATTTAAGATTCAGTTTTTAAAAAAAACTATGCTAGCCATTCCCAAAATCTTCAACATTTCCAGTTAAATTTTTTATTTTATTTTTTGAATGTCAAGAATTTTGCCAGCACCAGCTTTCAAAAACACTTGAAAACATCCAAAGGGTACAGAAGAACGTCAGGTAGATCTTTAAACTGTGGCAAACAAAAATAGGTAGCTTGATCTATGGAACAAAACTGTTAAAAGACAATAATAACAATAGAAAACCATTTCAATTTCTTTTTCCTCTAAGGAATATGATCTTAAAATGAATGATGCATCGTATCATAAGAATTGTAAATAACACTCTGTCCTGCTCTGGAAAAATGCATGTGAGTTTACTTCTCAAAATTTTTTAAATGCTAAGAGAAAGTTACTGGTTAATAAGAATTTAAGAGTAATGAAATTGCATTGGAAATTTTCATTTCACCACAAAGAATGAAAATATAGAATTTAACAGCAAACAGAATCTTTTTATTTATTTATTTTGAAAATAGCAAGAAGATCAACCTACCAGTTATCACAGAATCTTTGGCATATGGGAACAGAAGAAATAGCAGCTGCTTGTTTGGAACGAGCCCAGCGAGCAGTATATGGTGAGCACCTATAAAAGCACTCTATTTTCTTCATATAAGTTTCACACCTGTTTTTATGGAGAAAATATCCACTGTTGTTATATGAAAAATCTTCAACAAACCAAATGGAAAATTGTTTGGGAAGTTTAATTCAGTTGTTCCTTAGACTTGTAATTCTAAAATTACGTTACAATTTTATTTAAGTAAATACTAGGTTTTATATCAAAGCTACATTAATACTTTATTAATCTCATTGATAAACCTGGGTAACACGAAAGGGCTGAATAAAAGATTTATTATTTATTTATTTATAAAATGTATAGGACACCCATTTTACCTCTTTCTTCACCTAGTTTCTCTTGCTACATTGTCTTAATTACAGGTAGTCCTTAACTTAACAACCACAATTGAGCCCAAAATCTCTATAGCTAAGCAAGACAGTTACCGTAAATGAAGTTTACAACATTTCTTGCCAAAATTGTTAAGTGAATCACTGCAGTTGTTAAATTAGTAACATGGTTGTTAAGTGAATCTGGCTTCCCCATTGACTTTGCTTGTCAGAAGGTCACAAAAGGTGATCCCATGACCTTGGGACACTGCAACCGTCATAAAGATGAGTTGCCAAGTGTCTGAATTTTTTTTTTTAAAGAAATTTTTTATTAGTTTTATTACAAAAAAACCACACAAAAAAGCATCATCTTTCATTACATCTTGTGGAAAGCGTATCCATTGGTCACGGGTACATTTCGAGCGTTCTGTCCACAATCACATATATTCCATTCAGTTTAAATTGTATATGTTAAGAATGTATATATTTTACTATCCCCATACCAC